CCTTTGAATGTATCACCTGTTTGTTTGAACTTGTTGAGACTGCTCACCGAACACATACTGCTTGTTCCACCATGGTCGCCCAGAGCTAGCACCTGCGCAGTGCACATATTTGCTGATCTTTGTACATATCTGTTGTTCATGCTTATTTGTTTGGAAATTAAGTGATTTACTGTACAAATCAGATCTGTGTGGCATGCCGGCACCTATAGCTCCAGTCGACTCTTGTGAACAAGCAAGGAGTTCATACTGAAGAAGTGGTCACTAGTCAGGATGATGGAAGAAAGGCCGAAAGGTCTGATACGAAAATGTCATGTTGTTTGTACCGCCACCCTAACTGTGAACGTGTGTGAGTATACATCCCGTGAATATAGTGAGGGTACTATTAGGCAACCCCAAAATATTGGTTGTTAAACACACCATCATATATCATGCGGTGCAAGGCAGGAAAGAGTATTTGCACACCAAGTTCTCTTAGGCTACGTTTACACAGGCAGCACAATTCTGATATTGTTTCCACTAATTGGTCTTTTGACCAATCACATCAGATCTTTTCACATCAGATCTTTTTCAGAGCTGATCTGATTGGTCAAAATACCAATTAGTGAAACAAAATATCAGAATTGGGCTGCCTGTCTAAACACAGCCTTAGACACCCTGTGTTGAGAGGCAGGATAACATCAGTAGTAACTATGTGAAAGTTCACTACCTTGACTAAGCCTTTGGCTACTGAAGGGAGCATAAAGCCGTTGGCCACTGCCCTCCTTACAGAGAGGAGGTGAAAGGTGTCCTAAAGGTGCCTTAAAGATAGGAAGACAAATACCTGTCCATGCAATGCACCACGCCAAGGACCAATTAAGTCATGAGCTACTCCAGACAGGCTTTCACTTGATCCCATTTAACAAGAGGAAACTAACAATCAGAAGAGCCTGACAAGAAAAGAGACTTGGAGCAGAGATTTCTCAACGTGGACTTTCGGCTCCCATTGATGGACTTGTTGGTCTGTGCGTAGGGTTGTTTCCTAATGACGTCATACATTTGAGCTAAGCTTCTTATTGCTTCTGAACACCTGAAGTCCTGTTTTTGTTTACAGACAGGACAGGTACAGTGCCTTCGGAAAGTATTCAGACCCCTTGACATTTTCCACATTTTGTTACGTTAAACCCTTATTCTAAAATGGATTAAACAAATAAATAATCCTCAGCAATCTGCACACAATACCCCATAATGACAAAGCGAAAACAGGTTTTTAGAAATGTTAGCAAATGTATTAAAATAAAAAAACAAATACCTTATTTACATAAGTATTCAGACCGTTTGCTATGAGACTCGAAATTGAGCTCAGGTGCATCCTGTTTCTGTTGATCATCCTTGAGATGTTTCTACAACTTGGTTGGAGTCCACCTGTGGTAAATTCAATTGATTGGACATGATTTGGAAAGGCACACACCTGTCTATATAAGGTCCCACAGTTGACAGTGCATGTCAGAGCAAAAACAAAGCCATGAGGTCGAAGGAATTGTCCGTAGAGCTCAGAGACCGGATTGTGTCGAGGCACAGATCTGGGGAAGGGTACCAAAAAAATTCTGCAGCATTGAAGGTCCCCAAGAACACAGTGGCCTCCATCATTCTTAAATGGAAGAAGTTTGGAACCACCAAGACTCTTCCTAGAGCTGGCCGCCCGGCCAAACTGAGCAACTCAAATAAGCAAAGAGAAACGACAGTCCATCATTACTTTAAGACATGAAGGTCAGTCAACACAGAACATTGATCGCCGTATGTGTAGTTCCCACCGTAAAGCATGGAGGAGGGGGTATTATGGTGTGGGGGTGTGGGGGTGCTTTCCTGGTGACACTTCAATTCAAGGCACACTTAACCAGCATGGCTACCACAGCATTCTGCAGCAATACGCCATCCCATCTGGTTTGGGCTTAGTGGGACAATCATTTGTTTTTCAACAGGACAATGACGCAACACACCTCCAGGCTGTGTAAGGGCTATTTTACCAAGAAGGAGAGTGATGGAGTGCTGCATCAGATGACCTGGCCTCCACAATCCCCCGACCTCAACCCAATTGAGATAGTTTGGGATGAGTCGGACATTAGAGTGAAGGAAAAGCAGCCAACAAGTACTCAGCATATGTGGGAACTCCTTCAAGACTGTTGGAAAAGCATTCCAGGTGAAGCTGGTTGAGAGAATGCCAAGAGTGTGCAACTTTTTGGGTTACTACATGATTCCAAATGTGTTATTTCATAGTTTGATGTCTTCACTATTATTCTACAATGTAGAAAATAGTAAAAATTAATTAAAACCCTTGAATGAGTAGGTGTGTCCAAACTTGACTGGTACTGTATATAAATTAGCAAAAATGTCAAAAAAACAGTTTTTGCTTTGTCATTATGGGGTATTGTGTGTAGATTGAGGGGGGAAAAAAACAATTTAATCAATGTTTGAATAAGGCTGTAACCTAACAAAATGTGTAAAAAGTAATGGGGTCTGAATACTTTCCGAAGGACAGGTTAGCTAAGACTAAGTCAATTTGTTGAATGAATGTTGGCCTACTCCAGTGGTACAGTATCTGCAAAATTATAATTTATTAAAAAGCAATATTCCAGCCATAGTGACCTTCAGAGCAAGGTTTAAAAAGTGATTAATTCATATGACACATTTTGCTGCCGTTCAATATGTTTCCGACTGATCAGTGGAAAAAATTTAACCTACAATGTGGTCGTGTGCGTGTTTGTATTTGCTCTCAGCGGCTTAGTATGATCATATTTAGGCTAGCTACCTCAATCTCCTGCAGCTGCTCCTGGTTGGTGGAGTACATCTGCTGCAGCCCCTGCTCCAACTCATGGTTCCGGTCCAGTAGGGTCTTACCCAGCTGAGCCGCCAAATGGAGATCTGTAAACACATACACGCAAACATGTAAACAAAACACATATTCATTGTATATACACTAAACATGGATCAGTTAACACTTTCACAAATGCGTATACACACACACAGTATGTTAGCCCAATATTGGACTAAAGGAGCCTAGCATTACTCCTTATAGTCCAAGGACCTTACATGTTTTGTTTAAAAGTGAATTGGCTCTGGTAGCCAAAACAACCAAATACTACATTAAATGTGAATTGATTCTCAATTGCGGTATGGTTCTAGAAAAATAAATAAATCCCTCTACTTTCATATCACATCAAAATGATTTTAAAAATGCAAAATACACACTCACTGAACACCGTTTTAAACATGTTTGTGGCATCTGACTTCTGTTTACACACAGGTGTTCGGAGACGGAGATAGCTAATTAGCACAGGTAGTCCACTCTGTCTTCCATCTGTTTTCCATAAATAAGCGCTGTAACATGGAAATATGGCCGTGCGGGAATCCATAACCAAATAAAGGTGTATCAATTTAACCTTTTGTTTTGTATAACGCAAACATCTATCAACCCAAAGGTTGCAAGTTCGAATCTCATCACAGACAACTTTAGCATTTTAGCAACTTTTCAACTACTTTTTTTAGCTACTTTGCAACTACTTAGCATGTTAGCTAACCCTTCCCTTAACCCTTTTAGCTAACCCTTCCCCTAACCTTAACCCTTTAACCTAACCCCTAGCCTAGCTAACGTTAGTTAGATAGCTAATGTTAGCATCCTAACCACCTAGCTAGAGTTTGTAATATATCATACATTTTGCGAATTCTTAACATATTGTACGTTTTGCACATTTGTAACATATTGTACATTTTGTAAATTCGTAACATATATCACAAATTGTAATTCGTAACATATCATACGAAATGGGTGATGGACATCCACAAATTAATACATAACATACGAAACGTAATAAATCATACTGAATGTAATCGGTTTTACATACAGAATTATACAAAAAGCTCTGAGACCAGGTTGCAGTCAGCCAGCCAGCTAATGTAATGGAACTGAGAGTCATGATCAAGGGCTAACAGTATGCCTGCAACAACATACAGGTGCACAATAATAATGCAGTACACAAATACATGCAAATAGTGTCCAAACAAACTACAAAAACTGTAGCCTACACACACACACAAGTCACACACAGGACACACACAGGACACACACAGGACACAATAATCAACACATGGGAAGTGACAGCCTTAGGATATCTTGGCAACAAGAAGGCTCTCAGTAATTCTCAATATAGACCCCACTACTACTGACTATGTGTGAGTGTCACAAGAGTGTTACCCTTTACAATAAGATATGTGTGCGATACAAATCACTCAGATTATTTGTTTAAATTCTAACAAAATATGTTTGTTTTTTAAATGGAATGGATGTGGGTCTATGAAAGGGTATCATGAGGCTTGTGGTTGCAATGTTGGCAATCGCATGTCATCAGCAATAACTGTGAGGCTATTCACTGATTTTGTCTAGGACATTTTAAAATTAAATTGTAATGATTTTCTAATCTGTAATCTCAGATGATCTGATGCATCAATCCAGACTGTAGAATAGTGGAATCGTATTGCAATAAGAGGCTGGTGGTTGTTCTCTCTCAGTTGCGGCTGTTTAGGGCGCAACCGAGCTATCCCTCCCTTCAACACCCGCAACACAAATCTCTTACCGTGCTCAAGGTCCTGTTTGCCATACCATGGCTCCTCATCCTTGAGCTCAAACTCTTCCTCCACTATCATATCAGTCAGCATTTTCCCCTGACAATTGTATTCCAATAGAGAGTGCGCGCTCCACCCGGCAGAATCCTAAAACATCGGTGTGATAAACAGCCTGGAGTGACCGGACAATATCCTCCGGTGGCGTAGTCCGGTGTCTGTTTGCGGCAACGTGGCAATCTCAGCCGGAGAACGAACTCAGCCACTAAGGAAAAAGCGACACTACTTTTTTAATGACAGTTCATTGACCAATAATTAGAAAGTAGGTTGGACCAGAGGACCTTTTTGTCCAATGTTTGTTTGTTATGGTTCGGTCACATGGGTTATTGCCCCGCCTATTTCCGCATTTACAGAAACGGGTTTGATATCTGCAAGCGAGGAGAGGAGCATAATTTGTTTTGTATATTAACACATATTTCTAATTGTGTATTCATCAGTGAGGTTAACTTAATTTGTATTTGTAAAGTCTGTTTGCTGACCAAGCCGAAATAGTAGAAATCCTGCACGCGACTGCAGAACTTTTGCCATGGAATATGAATAGCTGGAAAGTCCGTTTCTTTAACTCACCTGCTTGTGTAGTCATATAGATTTTTCACTCAAATGACACTCGACTCACTTTGCAAATCTGTGGTAATTAAATGAGATCAAAGTGAGTAGCCTGGAGAAATTAAACCACAACCAGGCATGACCGTGGAGAAACCAGCCGCAGGTGTTCGCACCTTCGGCGGCCTGAACATCCGGAGGCACCTGGCGAGTCTGGGGGCTCACCCTCCCGCCGTGGCTTACTCCATGACCACCCTGGGAGCAGGCATGATGAACAGCATATTTAGCTTCTACTATGTCAAGCTGTTCCTCAACAAGTACAAAATATCAGAGGGAGCTTTCCATCAGTCACAAGTGAGTACTGTACTACAGTAACAGATACTGTAAACTTTCTGGGCATTAGGTAGCCTAGTGGTTAGAGCGTTGGGCCAGTAACTGGACCAAATTATTATTTATTAAACAGCAACTGTAGCCGTAGGGCCCTATGACTATTATGCACTTGCATAATAGTAGGCCTACATTGTACACTGCCCAATAATAGTATGTCAATTCAAAATGGGAATAACTGGCTTGATATGTCAATGCTCAATGATAGTGAGGAAAGTACGCACAATGGTATTCTTGGCCATGCAGCTTGCTCACACTTTTATTAAGTGGAACGAACCACACATGACAGCATATACAGTCCTTAGATGTGTAATTTGGGCAATTGTTCAATATTAGCAACTTCGAGATGCAAACAAGACAATTATTATGTCATCCCTCTTTGTCATCTCTTCATCCTGACAGGTGGTGTACATGGTGTGGAACGCAGTGAACGACCCTCTGTTTGGCTACCTGCAGGATAACTCCCGCGTACCATGCTGCTCTCAACGTCGTCTCTCCATCCTGTATGGTGCTCCCTTCTACGCACTCGCCTTCCTGCTCGCCTGGTTCCCATGGCGAGAGTACGCCCCCGGCGACTGGATGAGCGGCGTCCACCTAATGGTGGCATTGTGTGCGTTCGACGGGATGCTGACGTTTGTGTTGCTGGCGCAGTGCGCCCTCTTTGCAGAGATATCAGGCCACCACCAGAGCAGACTGAGACTCATCAAGTACAACCAGGTAGGAAAGGGAGGTGTTTTGTGAAGTGTTTCTTTTACAAGTTTCATTTTAGCTGCAGTATTTATTTTGTTGTCTGAAGTCAGTAAAGTGTTCTCACGTTTATCTCCTCTTCCCCCTCCTCTCCCCAGGTGGCGTCCCTTATAGGTTCTTCCAGTGTTCTATTCTGCGGCCTCCTCTCCCAGAACATGGATGACTTCCCATCCTTCCAGGGCTTCACTGTCCTGGTGGCTGTTCTGGCCTGTGGCTGCATGATCTACACAGGCCTACACAGTGAGAGCCGCTTCGACACCAAAGAGTCAGCACCGGGGTCAAACGACCAGGGTTCTGGCCAGTTAACTCTTTCCTTCTCCTTGGTGACCTCTATGACCTTGCAGATCCTGACCAATAGGGACTTCCAGCTCTTCGTGCTCATGAACTTCTTCCAGGTCAGAAAAAAGACTGGGATACAGCCGCTCAATGGGGCCACAGAATGTGGGCACATATCACTTGGTTTGTTCTGTTAATGGGAATATGTGTGTGTATATGAGTGTGTACCACATCTGACCATTACATGTATATTTCCTATCCATTGCACTTTTCCCAGGTCTTCATGGTGGCATTCTGTAATAACTTCACTATGATCTTCGCCGAGCATCTGATACCCCCCAACGTGCTGCCATCACTGGCCAAGAGCTTCATGTATGGAGCCGGCTTTATCTGTCCTCAGGTAACATACCGCAGCTCAAAACACTTTATACTGAGTGGAGGGAGTCACTAACCTTACTCAGCACCACCAGTGTATTGCATTGAGTGCCTTGCCAAGTGCTGACCACACATTACACCACCTATTTTCTAGCATTGCCTTGTTGATTTATTCCCATGGTGTTACTTACTGTACTGTACCTTACTGTCATCTCTGTGGTGTGTCTCTCTCAGTTGGTGGTGCTGAGCAGTCAGAGCCTGCTCCACGGCCTGGGCTACTACAAGATCATCCTGCTCACCTTCTACGTAGAGGCTGGCATGGCTGCCGTCATGCTGGTGCTGGGGCCACATCACTACTACATCCTGGCATTCTTCCTGACCGCTAACATGTAAGAAGTTATGTTATCGAATTGTCATTGTAATGTTATTATATCATCTATTTATATGTTATTGTAGCCACTGTCATTAATGACAGTGAATGTCCACATATATCAGTGTCAGTTATGTAATTCAGTAACATGATTTGCTCCATGAGTTGGATATACACCAGTGCCATTTTACAACGGTTTGCTTTATCACACAAACCCTTTCATTGTAAAAATGTTTTAAACAAAAATATCTTTGTCGCCATTAAGGGTCCTTGTCCAGGCAGCCTTCAGTCTGTTTAACCTGCCTCTGGCTGACATTATCGACTCAGACCTTCAGAGACACAAGCGCAGGTAAACCCAGGTCTGCTGTGTCACAGTTATAATAGTGCCACATCAGCACACAGTGAACTCCACCCGCCCAGCCATCCATTATAGATAGACAGTAATAGAACACTACTCCCTCAGGGGTGTTCTGTAGGCTAACACTGAGCTTCATTGGCAGTGCTACAGTACCTAACAGTCTCCCTAACATTACAAAAGTAACTGAGGCTGTATGTACTTTGTAGGGCACATTAAGTATGTATTGATATTAACCCACCAAAGTAAGTGTGGAAGAGGTAAGTTATTTGGACTTCAATTGTAAAATGTTGCAATGAATGTGCATCTCTGTAAGTCACGTACAGTACACAGACAGGAATGTAAACACAGTGATGGATGTAAACACTAGCAAGGGTATGACTAAAAGCGCCTTGAGCCCTTGATGGAAAATATAAATCCAATCATTCCAATCCATGATTATTATTGTTATATCCTCCTTATGACATCAATGTAAGTGGATCAAGTATTAAAGCCTTGTTGTGTCCTTTCCCTCTGTGTCCTCTACAGCTCCCCCCTCTCCTCCATGGTGTTTGGGACCAATGCTCTGTTCACTAAACCAGCCCAGTCTCTGGCTCCTATGCTGGTGGTCTCCATCCTAAACCAGTTTGGCTACGAGAACCTGAAGGATGCTGGGAGGGATGCAAAACCCAGGTAAGGGCTGCTGGGAGGGATGCAAAACCCAGGTAAGGGCTGCTGGGAGGGATGCAAAACCCAGGTAAGGGCTGCTGGGAGGGATGCAAAACCCAGGTAAGGGCTGCTGGGAGGGATGCAAAACCCAGGTAAGGGCTGCTGGGAGGGATGCAAAACCCAGGAAGGGCTGCTGGGAGGGATGCAAAACCCAGGGAAGGGCTGCTGGGAGGGATGCAAAACCCAGGGAAGGGCTGCTGGGAGGGATGCAAAACCCAGGGAAGGGCTGCTGGGAGGGATGCAAAACCCAGGGAAGGGCTGCTGGGAGGGATGCAAAACCCAGGGAAGGGCTGCTGGGAGGGATGCAAACCCCAGGGAAGGGCTGCTGGGAGGGATGTAAAACCCAGGGAAGGGCTGCTGGGAGGGATGCAAACCCCAGGTAAGGGCTGCTGGGAGGGATGCAAAACCCAGGTAAGGGCTGCTGGGAGGGATGCAAAACCCAGGTAAGGGCTGCTGGGAGGGATGCAAACCCCAAGTAAGGGCTGCATCTCAATAGTCTAAAATGGCCTCTCCTTATCTCCTTTTTGCTAATTGTATTATTGTGGTGAGAACTAAACAGGTGAAAGTGAATTCCCTGTAGACATCCATTTTGCTTGTATCTGACCTGTGTCTTCAGATAAGTGAGGAGAGGAAGGCACTTTAGACTATCAAGAACGACCATTTAAGATCCTGTTCAGTGTTTTGCATTATTAGCAATAATCCATGTTTGCGCTGCCAGCATGCAAATTAACTTTAGCCTGACCAAACCAGTCTTACTGTTACGGCCTTGTGTATTTTGGGGCTGTGAGGAATGAGAGTAGGAGTAGGAATGATCTAGGATTGGTTCACTGCCAGCGAGTCACCTGCTGAATTAAAGTAGCATTTGATTCATTTCAGGTGCAGATGTCACACATTGTTATCCGTAGTTGTAGTGTTTGACAACTTGCTGGGGTTATATCTTGAACTCTACTGTTACGCTTACTGAGATAAGACTGCTTACATCCCCTAGTGGTGAAATAACCGCATTGACATGTTACATTAATTGTGTCAGTGAACCAATGTAAAGCAACTGCATTTATTCTACGACATGGTAGTTAATTATACGCTACTTTAATGTGTCTCTGTCGTAGTATTATTAGATGTAATTTTTATAAATTGTCTTGATACACAGACATACTGGTTGAATTCATGACAACACATTTCCAGTAGCTCCTCTATGTCTTGTAACATATCCTGTACTGTCTGAATAATGTCCTACTCCTCCCCTGCAGTGACTTGGAGGCCCTCCACACCACCATGTTCTACCTGGTGTGTGTGGTGCCCATGTGTGTCGCCGCCCTGCAAGTCTTCGCCTGGAGGCCCTTCTCAATACGCAACAGTCACACCGTGGACACCAAGTATATCGACGGACTGAGTCACTCAACTTAATCTCTGTGTCTATGCTGACTTTTAAGACTTGACAGGCTGCTGCAGCACTCCTAAAGGGAACATGGTGGTGTAATGGCAGGAGGGTACTGCAGAAGAAAACTCTCCATCTGTATGTGTTTATTATGTTTGTCTGTGAACTTGTCTGGTGGTGATGAAGGGAACGGTACTGACCCTAACTCTGGTATCAGGAGCACAGTACCTGAGCCTGCTATTACGCTATGCACTATGTAATAATATGATGTTAGTTACTGTGAAAACTGTATGACTTAACCAAGTTTATTGAGGGATATATTGTAGCATCAGATTACTTTCAAATAGGTTATTAGTTTGCAGACTTTGTTCTCCAAACAACTTGAATGTAAAACAGATATTGTCTTTGACATAGTGTATACATTGTGTATACTACATACTGGTATCATGGGACCTGAACCATTGTGATGTTGTGCCTTTGTCTAAATAGTTAATACCAATCAAATATGCTATTACTTTTCATTCAAATTATTTGCATTAATTTGTTGGGGAATGTTTTCTACAAGTCTTTTTTACACTGTTTCCATTTGAATTAAAAACAATAAGCCTTCATTCAAATAACTTGCACATGTTATTTACATTTACTTTTTAAACTGAAACATGCGTTGACTTTTTAAACTGAAACATGAACCAAAACAATCTGATATTCAAATAGGCGGACTTCAGATTCAGTACAGGGACTTCTGTTTTTCTTTCTGATTCATTTAAAGTTAATCAAATTGAGATTATTTTTGTCTTGTTACTCTCTCCATATAGCATGTTTTCCATTTTAAGCTGCCTGAAGAGGAAAAGGCTATACGGTCACTCCTGACCTGCAAACCGATTTTCAGAATTTGTTAAATTTAGGTCAGGGTTAAGGGTTTGGTTAAGGTAAGGGTCAGTTTTAGATTTTGGTTAGTTGTTTTTGCAGGTCAGCAGTGTCCTTATAGTCTCTCCCGCCTGAAGATGTGAAGGGAAGTAGCTGTCATTAGCTGTTCTCCTTTTTGTTTGAGTCACTGGTTTTGGTAAATGTCCTCTGGATGGTTGGAGTGTGGGCTTTCAACCTGCAAGATGATTCAGTTGAGTTTATCAGATGTAGAGTCAACATGGTGTAGATTAGATGTGTTGTTTGAGAAGAGTTTGCTTAAGAACAAGGTATGATAATTTAGCAAATTGAAAACCGGTTGATATAACTGAGTCATAACACATAAACATAACACAAAATCTAAGCACTTTCCCAGCCTCTCTCTTACTTACTAGGAAAGCCAATAAGCCATATTAGGAAACTGCAATCTGACCATCCTGTACCTTGTTTTGAGCAGGGCCACTGTGGTTGGGGTTCTTCTTGTTACTTTGTAAGTTCCTCTTGCCGTACAGCTCTTGCACAACAGCACCAAACTGTACTCTAACTGTATTCTTCTGTTAGAGATAGAACGAACAGCAAACAAATTGGTTACATCGCAGTGGTAAATAACAACAAAAAAGTGTTGTATTTCCTTGTCTTTCTGCAATGTAAACATACATTGAAGTCTCAATATTGTGAGACTGAGGATTATACTAGGAATTTACTGAAGAGGAATACCCCCTCTTACAAAACCATGATTGCAAGGGCTTAGAAATAGAACTGTTCCTTGTTTAAGACATCGGGCTTTCCACAACTTTGTGAAACTAAATATTGTGAACACATTGCACATTGTGGTGGCATCAAGTATTCTTTAAGACATCATGAACAACTTCAGTGAGGCAGTACAAAAGAGAAGACTTCACCTGGATGTCACTCTTCTGTGTACCTCTGCAAACAGCAATGTCTTTCCCAGTCTAGTGTAGAATGAGCGGGTTAGAATCCAATGTAGACTAGATGATATTATGGTGGTTGCATGATTGGTCAATATATTTTATGCACTGTTACGTCTCAAACAACATCCAATTCATAATGATCATTATATGTATGTATCTAGTGTAATACAATATCTTACCTTCTTACAAATGATCAGAATCAGTACCGCCAGACTGTACAGGGCCAACAGGACAAACAGCAGCCACAGCAAAACATGCCAGGTCATCTGCATGCCCCACTCTGAAAGCACACAGGAGAACTGTCACTTGGTTTTCATATGGTTGTAAAGGCAAAACTTGAGTATAATTGAAAAGGCCCCCTTGCTACCGCAAACACTCTTACCCATAGAGATACATCAAATGATGAGTAATAATTTCAAATGATACGTGTTCTATTTAATTATATGCTCTTACCTCTCACCACCAGCGTGGTGCCCTGTCCTATCTCCTGTGCCCCGCTGCATACCACGTTTTTAAACAAGGCAGCACAGTGGTACACCCCGCTGTCATTGGCCTGGAGTGAGTTGATATTCAGGGCGTTTCTCTCCAGGCTGTATTTGTGTTGCTGGGTCATCAGATCGACCGAGTGGTGAGCGTCCTCCTTGAAGACGAACCAGATTAAGTCAATTTCCATATTGGTATCATAAGTGATGTTACAGGGGAGAGAGGCTGTCTGACCCCCTATCCGCCAAATGACCTCGTCTGGCTGGTGTAAAGATAACACTTGGAGGCAGTCGGTCTTGTTCCACATGATGTCTGGAGTAAAAAGAGATACAGGTACAATCATAAAGTTGTACTTTCAATCGTTATAAGTGTAACTAATATGGAATCAAAATAGTTTACACCAAGGAATAAGAGGAGCATTGTGTGCTTTGAGAAAATATCAGATTAAAACTGATTAAAAGTTACAGTAATTATACTGGCATAAAGAGACATTTAACTTAGCTTTACTGGTTTAAAAAACATTCACATTTAGTGAAGTTGGTGTCCTTACTGGCTGTCGAGATGAATTAGCGTGGTAGAGTAGAACACTGATAAATCCGTTCTGATGAAAACATTACGTTGACACCAGTTGGGTGTGTGAAGAGCGTGCGCGCGCTGTGATCTCATGACTAAGTGTGTAATAGACAGAACAGGAAGATGGATGTTTTGACTTCTCTCACTTTTCCATCCTGTTTACCAACTATCTCATCATTATGTGTTTGGTGTTGTAATCCCAAACTATTTTTCTCACGGTCGCACAGTTGTCACTCAAACTGTATTCTCATAGTAATGTTGCAGCATCAGAGAGATGTTGTGAAAATCAATCTGTTCGCCTTTCTTCAAGTTCAAGGCCCTGGCATGACAGTCACATTGCGTATATTATGTTCTAATAACTAACCGAGATATTATAAATGAGAATACAACTAAACAAAACTATATACAGTACCCAAGAAGACTCAAGGCTGTAATTGCTGTCAAAGGTGCTACAACAAAGTCCTGAGTAAAGGGTCTGAATACTTATGTAAATGTGATTTTAAAATGTTTTATATACACTACCAGTCAAAAGTTTGGACACACCTACTCATTCAAGTGTTTTTCTTTATTTTTACTATCTTCTACATTGTAGAATAATAGTGAAGACATCAAAACTATGAAATAACACATATGGAATCATGTAGTAACCAAAAAAGTGTTAAACAAATCAAATAATATTTAATATTTTACATTCTTTAAAGTAGCCACCCTTTGCCTTGATGACAGTTTTGCATACTTGGCATTCTCTCAACCAGCTTCACCTGGAATGCTTTCCCAACAGTCTTGAAGGTGTTCCCACATATGCTGAGCACTTGTTGGCTGCTTTTCCTTCACTCTGCGGTCCAACTCATCCCAAACCATCTCAATTGGGTTGAGGTCAGGTGATTGTGGAGGCCAGGTCATCTGATGCAGCACTCCATCACTCTCCTTCATGGTTAAATAGCCCTTACACAGCCTGGAGGTGTGTTGGGTCATTGTCCTGTTGAAAAACAAAATGATAGTCCCACTAAGCGCAAACCAGATGGGATGGCGTATCTCTGCAGATTGCTGTGGTATCCATGCTGGTTAAGTGTGCCTTGAATTCGAAATAAATCACAGACAGTGTCACCAGCAAAACACCCCCACACCATCACAAATCCATGCTTCACGGTGGGAACCACACATGCGAAGATAATCCGTTCACCTACTCTGCATCTCACAAAGACATTGCAGTTGGAACCAAAAATCTCACATTTGGACTCATCAGACCAATAGACAGATTTCCACCGGTCTAATGTTCATTGTTCGTGTTTCTTGGCCCAAGCAAGTCTCTTCTTATTATTGGTGTCCTTTAGTAGTGGTTTCTTTGCAGCAATTCGACCATGAAGGCCTGATTCACGCAGTCTCCTCTGAACAGTTGATGTTGAGATGTGTCTGTTACTTGAACTCTGTGAAGCATTTATTTGGGCTGCAATTTCTGAGGCTGGTAACTCTAATGAACTTATCCTCTGCAGCAGAGGTAACTCTGGGTCTTCCTTTCCTGTGGCGGTCCTCATGAGAGCCAGTTTCATCATAGTGCTTGATGGTTTTTGATTTGTTTAACACTTTTTTGGGTACTACATGATTCCATATGTGTTATTTCATAGCTTTGATGTCTTCACTATTATTCTACAATATAAATCTGTGAGAATTGGAAGACAGGTAAAGCATTTTAGTTGAGGCTGATATGAAGAAGAAAATGGACATTCTTACCAATGGATGCTGGTGGGCGTGTTTAGCACTGGTGTCACTCAAACTGCTGTATCCAATCCGAACCCAATTTGCTTTGTAATTTAAGTTTTTCTTACGCCCCCTTCCACGTCGACTTGCCCTATCGCCATATTTCAACTCGTTGCCTCAAGAAAGGGATTGTGAAGCCGGTTAAATAAGTTAGCTAGAAAGCTAGTTCAAACCAGAAATAGTTCTCAACAGTAGACTTTAGGGTCTTAAAAGTCATTTTCACCGGTGTCAAAAGAAGGCATCAGCTCTAGCAATGAACATCTTCAGGTTTACGGGAGACCTCTCTCACTTGGCAGCTATCATCATTCTCCTGCTCAAAATATGGAAAACCAGGTCGTGTGCTGGTGAGTAACGTTATATTAGCTACTAAAATGTAACTTGAAAGTTTTATTTCTTCCAATGACTGTTATTGGCTATGTACTGTCTACATATGTAGTTAGTTAGCCCTATGTCCGTATTCCAACCTATCTAGTTAGCTGGCTGTAGTTTAGATCCCTGTAGACCGCTAGTTAGCTAGCTAACATGGATAGTTAACGCGTTAGCTAACTAGCGTTATATTCCTAACCCACTACTAGTTAGCTATGTAGCTGCTAGCTACAGAACAAACAAGTAACGAATGGCATTTAAGTGTTGATCAATATATAATACATCATGAAACAAAAGTATATGCAGATCATGTGTGCACTGACGAGTTCGTTAGCTAGTTAGCTTGAATTGGTTGAACGTTAGCTACTTAACCACAGTAGCATGTCAACTTGCTAACTGTCTTTTCAAGCGCGGCAACTTGGATTGCTTGGATTTGACGTTAACTAGCTAGCTAAACTGATTAATGTTTAATCAAAGCCTTCCTTGAGTATCTGTTTTCCACCTATGACAGGCTATGTAACTGTTAGCTAGCTAACTTGCTATGCAAAACATGTTAGTTACGGTATCTAACTAGCTAGTTACTTGTAACAGCCAAAATAGTCGATGATAAAAATATAAAAAATCGATTGTTCATAAAGTGATGCAAGTTTGGACACTGTACCTTGTTGTCAGGTGAGGTATTTATGAATAATTACTGTTTAAACATTCTGTCTAGTGTCAACTTTGTTTTCTGCAACAGTCTGGCATGCGAGTACACTCAATGTAGCCTGGCGTTTGATTGTTTGGTCTGGACTCTGACGTGGCATTCAAAGTCCCAGAAATTAACTGGTTAGGTGGCAAGGAATCAATGCATTCTCACTCAAAAGTAGTCGACACTGCTACATTTGTCTCAAATTAGCTGAACACATCCTATATTCTAAACACTCGCACACGTTTCTCTCATCGACCTTGCTTGCATCGGATGCATTGGCATGGCGCCCCTTTGAGGCATTATGATCTTCAGGTTTATAGCATCTTCCCATTCAGTTCATGGATGGGACAGTGTAAGATTGAGACCCTGGGGTTTTGTTAACCTATTCTATTACAGAAACAAGTGCATGTTGGTCTGATCCTGATAGCAACCAACTTTACTGAAGTGAATGCATTATCCCATGCATAAAATTCATAACGTCTTGAGGGGTGTGTCTTTTTCTAATACCAGTCACTCTAATATATGGAATAAATACGATTTCTTGTTAACATTACGATTAGGCCTACATGGAGATAAATTAGTTGCTAGGTGATCACCATAGTCTTGAGATGCTGCTGCATTTCTTGATGTAGTTTCAGCAAACAGATGCAGTTTATTTATCCTCTAGTCAGACATGGGTTTGACTCACTCACATTTCCAAGTGCAGTCAGTAAGATACTATCACACTTGCAGCCATGGCTGTGCAGGGGCTTGCAAAGGAAGACTATTTCAGAAGTTGTGAAGACCTTGCCATTTCTTCATGAACTTGTTCTTGAAGTGATGCAAAACTAGAAGACTAATTTCTTAATAATTTCCTTCCCGATATTATCCGTCCTACTGTTGTAAAACTGGTTCTCTTCCAGGTATCTCTGGGAAGAGCCAGATCCTGTTTGCTTTGGTCTTCACTACTCGCTACCTGGACCTACTCACCTCCTTCATCTCCCTCTACAACACCACCATGAAGGTAAGAGGATGGCTGGGCCTTAATACTTAGCCTTCCTTTCTTTCTCCATACCTCCAAACCACTGATAGTATTGATTAAATGTTATAAGTTGGGCCAGGCGGAATCTGTGGAATCCCTTACAGAGTTGTCTGCATAAGCACTTGACAGTCATCACCAAATCTTTCAGGGCTTCAGATAAGTAATCTCTCTGTAGATTTCATCTGGCCCTAGTCCGTAGGAGAGATGGTCTAGACCAGGGGTGTCAAACTCATTTTAGCTCAGGGGCCACATGGAGGAAAATCTATTCCCAAGTGGGCCGGACCGGTAAAATCATGGTATATATATATATATATATAACTTAAAAACAACAACTTCAGATTGTTTTCTTTGTTTTAATACTATCAACATAAAACATAAAGCTGGAGCCTGAGGACAGTGTGTCCAAAATAGTACAAGCACAACATCACTATTAATCATAAAACACCTCAAGTTTATTTGAAAATTCTAAAGAAAAAGAACACAAACACACAATGCCTCAGTGATTCACAGAACTGTTTCACAGATCACAGAACTATATCAGGGGGTCATTTCTCAGGCAGAAATGTAGATACAAATAATGAAATCCTGTTCCCCAAACAAGTGCAAGAACCACAGAGTCAAGAATAGGTTAAATATACAAATAAAATAAAATCAATTAAAAACAATAGCACATCAACATAAAAACATATAAACATAAAGCTGGAGCCTGAGGACAGTGTGTCCAAAAGCACAACATCACTATTAATCATAAAACACCTCAAGTTATTTGAAATTCTGAGGACAAACACACAAACACACAATGCCTCAGTGATTCACAGAAGTATATCACAGATCACAGAACTATATCAGGGTGTCTCATGCAGCACTTTAAGTGTGGTTGCATAGTTTATTTGACTCCTGATACCTGGCATCTTTTAGCTTTCACCAGCGCATCAATATCAGGCATCACATCCTGAGTGGCAGCCAACTTCAGGATGTGATTCAAGTGCTTGTGCGTGAGCCTTGAGCGCAGCTTTGTTTTATTTATGCTCATTACAGAGAACTTGCTCACAAAGATATGTGGTTCCAAACATGCACAACAGTTTTGCAGCGAGGGCTGTCAAGTTGGGGTAACCTGGCAAGAGATTCTGATAAAATGTGTCCAAGCCAGCTGCAGCAAATTTGCCCTTCAAATCCGAGTCACACTGCAAGTCTATTATTTCAAGTTGGATGCTGACGGGCAGATCAGAGGGATTCACGGTGAATGGCGAACAAAAAAACGTTGAAGTCTTTCTCCAGTTCACCAAAAATCTGAAAGCGTTGCTCAAACTCCCTTAACAGTCCCGTTATTTTATCTTTGAACCGCTTCATGTCTGCCACATGTTGGGTCGTGCACACATTTTTCAGACAGGGGCAGTGAGCTGCATCACCACCGGCGAGTTGCGTCTCTCACAATGACAGCTTCAACTTGAAAGAACGTATGCTGTCATAATACTGCGTGGCAACTTTGTTGCGCCCTTGCAGCTGTTTGTTCAAGTTATTCAGGTGCTCTGTAACATCCACCATAAATGCAAGGTCCTGCATCCATTCTGCGGAATGAAATTCTAACACTGGTTTGCCCTTTTCTTCCATGAGCTGTTCAATTTCTTGTCGTAAATCAAAGAAACGCCTCAGCACAGCACCTCAGCTTAACCATCTTACCTCAGTGTGGTATGGCAGGCCATAGATGTGGTCTTTCTCTCTGAGAAGGCTGTCAAACTGACGGTGATTCAGGTTTCTGGATCGGATGAAATTAACAGTTTGGATGACCACCTTCATGACGTTATCCATCTTTAATGACTTGCAACACAAAGCCTCCTGGTGCAAAATACAGTGGAAAGTCCAAAAATCACGTCCTCCATTTGCAGATTGCACTTTCTCTCTGAACTTTGTCACAACGCCTGCTTTTTTCCCGATCATTGAGGGCGCACCATCTGTAGCCAGGCTGACAGCGCGGGACCAGTCCACTCCGACCCTGTCCAGCGCGCCGACGAGTGCAGTGAAAATATCAGCTGCTGTCGTTGTATCTGTCATCGGCACCAACTCCACGAACTCCTCGGTGACGGTCAATGTGTCATCAACTCCGCGGATGAAAATGGCCAGTTGTGCAACATCTGTAATGTCCGTGCTTTCATCAATTGCAACTGAAAACGCAATAAATGACTTTACTTTTTGCTTCAACTGGCTGTCCAAATCCACTGAAAGATCGGAAATCCTGTCTGCAACTGTGTTTCTTGTCAGGCTGATATTTGCAAATGCCTGGTGCTTTTCAGGGCACACAATCTCTGCTGCCTTCATCATGCATGTTTTTACAAATTCACCCTCACTAAATGGTTTTGAAGCCACTGCGATTTCATTAGCAATGAGGTAGCTAGCTTTCACTACAGCGTCACTGATGTCTCGGCTGTGAGTAAACACAGACTGCTGTTTCTTCAGACCCACCAACAGTTCATTCACCTTCTCTCTTCTCCGCTGTCCTTGAAAGTTGTCATATTTGTCGGCATGAAGACTCACATAGTGGCGACGAAGGTTATATTCTTTCAGCACTGCAACATGCTGTGAACACACCAAACATACAGCTTTCCCATTCAATTCCGTGAATAAATAGAAGGATGACAATTTTTCTTGGAACACTCTGCAATCTGCGTCCACTTTTCTCTTTTTTGACAGAGACATATTGGGGCAATGAGGGTGCCAAATCACATAATGTTAAAAGTAGAAGCCGTAATAAATATCGCGGGCAAAACAAAGTAGCTCATCCGGACTGGCTGCACTTGCTTGACCTATTTGCTCAGCCCCGGTATAAACAGTTTGCTTGCTTAACACAATTGCTATTGCGCCATCCAGTGGACACAATTGGAACAGCAGTTTATTTTATTGAAAAATTGCAGCTCATTTTTATACAAAATCATCTCGCGGGCCGGATTAAACCCATTTGCGGGCCTGATCCGGCCCGCGGGCCGGACGTTTGACACCCCTGGTCTAGACTGTGGTACTATTTTCTTCACAGCACCATTAACATGGGATACACTCATTTTCTCCCTCTCCTCTTCCCTGCAGGTGATCTACATTGGTTGTGCCTACGCCACTGTCTACCTGATCTACATTAAGTTCAAGGCCACCTACGATGGGAACCACGACAGCTTCCGGATGGAGTTCCTGGTGGTTCCTGTAGGGGGCCTCGCCTGCCTGGTCAACCATGACTTCTCTTTCCTAGAGGTTAGAGACATTTACGTTACATATGAAGGAGAGACCCCTAGTTGATGGCTACTTAACCTATTCTGCATGGTTAGTTGTGAGAGAGCTGGCGGATGAGATTAATGGCTAATATACAGTGTTGTGTGTTTGTCTTTCTATCAGATCCTGTGGACATTCTCCATCTACCTGGAGTCGGTGACCATCCTGCCACAGCTCTTCATGATCAGTAAGACGGGCGAGGCGGAGACCATCACCACCCACTACCTGTTCTTCCTGGGTCTCTACCGGGCCCTGTACCTCTTCAACTGGATCTGGCGCTTTTACTTCGAGGGTTTCTTTGACATGATTGCCATTGTGGCCGGCGTGGTGCAGACCATCCTCTACTGCGACTTCTTCTACCTTTATGTCACTAAAGGTGAGTGTCCCTATCTGATTTCTGTTCTGCCATCTGTGTATTCGCCGTTTGACCTTCTGGTATTTTATGTATGCGTAAGTAAGCATTATTGGAGTAATTGATGGTTGAGTTTGTAGGACTACATCATATTCTAAATGAGTTATAATCCATCTATATACAGTTTGAATGTTGTAGTGCACAGGAGTCAGCACATTGCAATGGAAATACATTTGGAAAAAAAATATTGGGCCCTCTGACATGCATCTCTATAATCCTCAGTGCTGAAAGGAAAGAAGCTGAGCCTGCCAGCATGAGAGGTTCAGACGGAGACCCCGTGTCTCCCAGCAGACTCAGGGTGCGTGGAGATGACATCACGGAACCCCGCCGAGCGAGCACAAGATGCCTGAGAGACAGAGCGACTCAAGGGAAAAAACACTAGTCTTCTTCATGAGTAACTTTGAACTTGTAAACAACAAACAGCTCCAGAACTGAATGAGAGGTCATCCCAGGTCTTCACGCGGTCTTCGGATATCTGTGTTTAGCATCTTGCCTTACCTTTTCTCATTGCTGTTCAAAATAGAAAGAAAACATATTTTTTTTTCGACATGTGAGGTGTGCTCTTTATGATGGCTCAACATGCATTGTATCGATTAGGGTTGACTCAATGCAAAGTACCATGCCAAACTTCTTAATGAAATGCACAAATGTAGTCTTTATGATTAAGATGGAAACGATGTGTCAAGGAGTGTTAGGTAATGATGATTTTATGTCTTGCTATTACATTGTTTTTTTACATGACTACGCCCTTGGCCAACTTATTATTCACAAGTACATTTACTTATCTGTTTTGTAGGTGCTCTTTCCTTTGGAGATCCCAGTTTGCACTCCTCTCTTGAAAAAGTTATCCTGCAAAGCCCACTTCCTGGTTCTTGTGTTCATAGATCCCTTTGCCCAATTATTTTTTTCAGTTGGCCTTCTTCATCTTGGTGTCCTCCGTTATGTACGTACTTGCCATTCTAAGATGAAGTTCCCATCTTAACATGATAAATATCACCTTTCACATCACCAACCAAAATAAGAGTTTATTGCATTACTTAGGCCTAGCCTCAGCTTGTTCAACATTGGATGATTATAAGTAATTTAGGGGTCCGTATAAGTAATGTGCTTCCTGATAGGGCTATTTGGTTTGTTTTCAATGCAGTCCTAGACTAAGGTTAATTTGGTATTGATTGAATACTGTAATCGCCTTACATGGTCAGTTGTCTGTTTAGCTGTTTAAATAAAGATCCAGTCATTTGTCACAGAGATAAAACACCCATTGAAATGTAAATGATATTCTAGAACAGGGTTGAGGAATGCGTGTGATATATGGTGTTTGGTATGGATTCATTTTAGTTAAATGTTGAGATTTGACCCATTATCCCAGCTAAGTACACCCCCATAGCCTATTCATTTGAGTCATTCCTATAGCTTCCTTTTTAGTTTTAAGTTGCATGATACCTGGGATACCACCTCACCTCCAATAAACTTTTTATGAAAAAACACTCAGTTTTATGCATCTTCATTAGATTATCAGGCTGTGTGGATGGAGGGCGCCTCTTACCTTATGTTACTGTGATTGTCACCTCTATTTTCTCCTCCCTCTCTGTGGATGACTTCGTCAAACATTTTGAAAAGAAGGTTGACGACATCCGATCCTCATTTATTAAGTCAAATGACACCGCTGGTCCTGCTCACACTGCCCTACCCTATGCTTTGACTTCTTTCTCCCCTCTCCAGATGAAATCTTGCGACTTGTGACGGCCGGCCGCCCAACAACCTGCCCGCTTGACCCTATCACCTCCTCTCTTCTCCAGACCAGTTCCGGAGACCTTCTCCCTTACCTCACCTCGCTCATCAACTCATCCTTGACCGCTGGCTATGTCCCTTCTGTCTTCAAGAGAGCGAGAGTTGCACCCCTCAAAAAACCTACACTCGATCCCTCCGATGTCAACAACTACAGACCGGTATCCCTTCTTTCTTTTCTCTCAAACTCTTGAGCGTGCCGTCTCTAGCCAACTCCTGCTATCTCTCTCAGAATGACCTTCTTGATCCAAACCAGTCAGGTTTCAAGACTGGTCATTCAACTGAGACTGCTCTTCTCTGTGTCACGGAGGCTCTCCACACTGCTAAAGCTAACTCTCTCTCTGCTCTTATCCTTCTAGACCTATCCGCTGCCTTTGATACTGTGAACCATCAGATCCTCCTCTCCACCCTCTCCGAGTTGGGCATCTCCGGTGCTGCTCACTCTTTGGATTGCGTCCTACCTGACAGGTCGCTCCTACCAGGTGGCGTGGCGAGAATCTGTCTCCGCACCACGTGCTCTCACCACTGGTGTCCCCCAGGGCTCAGTTCTAGGCCCTCTCCTATTCTCTCTATACACCAAGTCACTTGGCTCTGTCATATCCTCACATGGTCTCTCCTATCATTGCTACGCAGACGACACACAATTCATTTTATCCTTTCCCCCTTCTGATAACCAGGTGGCGAATCGCATCTCTGCATGTCTGGCAGACATATCAGTGTGGATGTCGGATCACCACCTCAAGCTGAACCTTGGCAAGACGGAGCTGCTCTTCCTCCCGGGGAAGGACTGCCCGCTCCATGATCTCGCCATCACGGTTGACAACTCCATTGTGTCCTCCTCCCAGAGTGCAAAGAACCTTGGCGTGACCCTGGACAAAACCCTGTCGTTCTCCGTTAACATCAAAGCGGTGACCCGATCCTGCAGGTTCATGCTCTACAACATTCGCAGAGTACGACCCTACCTTACACAGAAAGCGGCACAGTCTTAATCCAGGCACTTGTCATCTCCCGTCTGGATTACTGCAACTCGCTGTTGGCTGGGCTCCCTGCCTGTGCCATTAAACCCCTACAACTTATCCAGAACGCTGCAGCCCGTCTGGTGTTCAACCTTCCCAAGTTCTCTCATGTCACCCCGCTCCTCCACACACTCCACTGGCTTCCAGTTGAGGCTTGCATCTACTACAAGACCATGGTGCTTGCCTACGCAGCTGTGAGGGGAACGGCACCTCCTTACCTTCAGGCTCTGATCCTACACCCAAACAAGGGCACTACGTTCATCCACCTCTGGCCTGCTAGCTCCCCTACCTCTACAGAAGCACAGTTCCCGCTCAGCCCAGTCAAAGCTATTCGCTGCTCTGGCACCCCAATGGTGGAACAAGCTCACCCACGACGCCAGGACAGCAGAGTCACTGACCACCTTCCGGAGACACTTGAAACCCTACCTCTTTAAGGAATACCTGGAATAGTATAAAGTAATCCTTCTTCCCCCACTCCCCATTAAAAAAAAAGAAGAAAAAAAGAGGTTGTCCCACTGGCTATCATAAGTTGAATGCACCAATTTGTAAGTCGCTCTGGATAAGAGCATCTGCTAAATTATGTAAATGTAAGTACAGACAGCTAGAAAAAGCTCTGCCAAAACATGGTAAGTACTTGTATTCTATTGGTATTTTATTAGAATCCCCATTAGCTGTTGCTACTCTTCCTGGGGTCCACATTAAACATTACATAATACAGAACATTAAACAAGAACAGCTCAAGGCCAGAACTACAAATCTGTGGTGAAGGGTCAGTCATTACAAATGGGCACACTTTGGTAAATGTATTAGAAAATGTCTTACAAATACACAATATTGAGACACTGGCTTTCAAGAGCAAATCAATTTAGTAGTGCAGTTGAAGTGATTTACTTGTAACATTCCATCAAAGTAACATATCGCCATTAATCTTCAGATATAAAACACAGATTTTTAATTTTTGATAAAAATCATTAGTCACTATCATCTCTGTTAGTGCATACTTTACATTCTGTATATCTGGAGTGTTTCTGGTTTACACAAACTGACATGACCTAAGTCACAGAAACTAGCTCCCACTGTTCAATGGACCACAGATTTTAAACTTAATCAAAAGACTGACCTGTTATTAATCCTCTGTGGATCAAAACTAGAGGAACACATTTAATAAAATCTTTGGCAAATGTACAATATGGATTATAGCATACTGCACACATTGTTTAAAAAAACAAAACAGATTATTCTCAAATACAATGTAACAGTCAGGTATATTATTTGCACTGCTACCTGGTAATTTGTTATGTTTTAAATGGGCTTTGTGTAACAACAAATCATTTCTACCATTACAGGTGCTAAGTCCCCTCTCCATTGCAAATTATGAGGACAAATAAAAACCAAGGTACATTCATTGCATGTAACTTCTGACATGCAGACTAGCAACCGATAGCAGCTTGAATTTCAACTGTGTTTATCATGTATAAAATATACATCTTTGTTCTCTTAACCCTTAGAAAGATCAAGAAAATAGAGATCAGTGCAAATGCTATAGTGCAATAAAAGAACAAATCAACAATCAATGTGTCTACATTGTCAGGTGAAATCATACAACCTCCAGAATCATATAAAGAAATATTAATACTTGTATCAATGGTGATGATTCCATTGGACTGTTTGGATAATATATTTTTCTAGATAAAGGCCCAGGGCAGTCAAAGATGTGACTTTTCTGTGTTTTATAAATATTTCCACACTGAGGTTGGAATAATACTGAGCTTTTTGAACAGACCTCCTGAAATTTCAGCCTGTTTTGGTGGGCTGAAAATGTGGCCTGCCTGGTGGCAGAGAGTTCCAAACGTCTCTGCCAATAACCGCTAGTTTTCCATTTTCCCCTCCCCACTTAGACCAACAAAATTATTGCTTGAGAAATTGCTCTTTGCTAAGAAGCTATTTTTGTTTGATATTGAGATAAAAATTGCTGCATTGGGCCTTTAATGAAAAGTCAAGCTGAGGTTTTACTCTAGTTCTAGAGTCTAGAGGAACCCCTATCTGCCAGTGAGAGGACTGCAGGGCAGTGATCAGTATATGATTGTGTCTGTAGAAGGCCATCACCATCACTGACGCTGCAGCTTCTTAAACCTTGGGCTTCCCTTAGGCTTCTTCATCATCATCATCTTCTTCTCTGTCAGACTTTAAAGTAGGGGAGAGAACAAAACTTGAGTATTATATTAAAGGGACACTAAACTTATGGGAAACAACATTGTATGATGTATCTAGAAAGCAGTATTTGTTCATCAAATTATGTGTTATGTTGAACACACCTATCTTGTTCCATGACTGTTATATTTGTCGCAGGTGCCAACCTAGTGACTCGGTACCTACTGACACTGGGTGAAAGAGAGAAAGGAAGCGGGTGAGAGAGGGAGAGAATGAGAATCTCCAATGAAGGGCCTGTGTGTGTGTGTGTTCACTCCAGGCTGCGTGTTGATACCGCTGGCTGTAGTAGAAGTTGAGCACATTGGAAGAGGTAATGTAACAGGCACCGAGGACCAAGGAGACCAGGATGGCGAGGATGGCCAGAGCAGAGAGCACACACAGCAGACTGACCCCTCCCAGGGACAGCAGGAACACTGGAGGGAGAGGGAGGAGGCAGGAAGAATGAGAAAAACAAGAGCGAGAAAGGGTTTCAGTATTAGCCACCTTCATTGTCCTTGATAGACAGGCATTCAGGCTAGTTGTTATACTACACAGCTGGGAAGAGTATCAGTACTGTAGTAGTGGACAGTAGGTATAGTAAAGGTAGTGTAGGGACTTACCCTCCAATAAAATGAAACCCACGGTGGCACCAATGAATGTAATGGTGGCAAAGGCCAGGAAAAGCCCAATGGGTACAGTGGCCATGGCGCCAAATACTAACACAGCCAGGGCTAAGAACGGGTGGCCATTGAGGTACTGCCCCATTGATGTGTTCATCAGCTCTGCCACCTAGCGAATGGAGAGAGAAGGGACGTGAACATGCTTCACATTACCTCGTCCTATTAAGAAGTAATAGGTCCCTACATGCCTGTTAATGTTAGACCAAGAGTTGGTAAAAGAAAAGGAAAGCCGCACACTCTAGGAGCTCAGATGCAATAATTTAATATCCTACGTTTCGACAGACAAGCTGTCTTCATCAGGGATTAATGACAAACACAGCGGGTCACTAGTTTATTTTTTTACATTTTAGTCATTTTAGTAGATGCTCTTATCCAGAGCGACTTACAGTTAATGAGTGCATACATTATTATAATTGTTTTCATACTGGCCCCCCGTGGGAATCGAACCCACAACCCTGCGCAAAAGCCATGCTCTACCAACTGAGCTACGTCCCTGCCGGCCATTCCCTCCCCTACCCTGGACGACGCTGGGCCAATTGTGTTAAAGGACACACGCAGGTGTCTGTAATCATGGCCGGGTGTGGCCTAATAGCATTGGTTAATTCACAGATAAACAGAACATACAAAAAACATGGATAGCATATGATCATAGATACAAGTTGGCTACATAGGCCCACAAACATTTACAATGAATAGCAAAATCACAGTAATCACAAGAATGACTTCAAATCAAAGTCTACGTTGAAACCGAAGGGAGCAAGGGTCTTTAAATTAAAGATCCAGGCAGCCTCTCGTTTTACCAATAAGTTGTCGAGGTCACCCCCTCTCCTAGGGATGGTGACATGTTCGATGCCGATATAACGTAGGGACGAAATCGAGTGGTTCACTTCCAAAAAGTGGGCAGCGACTGGGTATGTCGAGTTTTTGCACCTAATGGTGCTACGATGCTCCGAGATTCGTACTTTTAATTCGCGCTTTGTTTTACCCACATAATTTTTACCACAAGGACAAGTTATAAGATAAATAACTGCCTTAGTGGAGCACGTAATAACACATTTGATTGGGATATGTTTCCCTGTTTGGGGGTGTTTAAAGGAGCTACATTTGTAAGTGCCATTGCATTGAGCGCAGCCGTTACACTTGTAGTTTCCATCCGGTAGAGGCGCAAATAGACGACGTGCAGGGATATTTAGGGGTGGTAAAATCCGAGTTTACCAATTGATCTGAGATTTCTGCCCCGCGAGAATACAACCAAGTGAGGATCCGAAAACACATAACCAATACTGTCATCGGATCTTAGAATGTTCCAATGTTTGTGAACGATTCCCTAAATTTGTTCAGAGCAATTTGAATAGCGTGTAGTTAGAACGCAAGAATGCTTCTTTTTGCGAGACTGTCCCTGAAAGAGGTCAAGTCTCGATTTGTTTAGAATTTTCTCAATGGCAGTATTAATCTGACCATTTTTGTACCCCCTCTCCTTGAATTTTCTTTGCGTCTCAGCAATATTTCGGTCGAAATCTGATTGTTTTTTACAGATTATTTTGATTCGACAGAATTGGCTGTAGGGCAAACTGTTTTTCAAAGGAAGCGGGTGACAACTATCAGCCCTCAACAAACTGTTACGGTCAGTAGGTTTCCTGTAAAGATCAGTGTATAGAACATTATCCTCACAAAATCAGAAGATCAAGGAAGCTGATTTGACGTGTGTCAGATTGCATAGTAAATCTCAGGTGCTCAGAACAAGAGTTAAGAAAAGCATGGAATGACTGGAGCTGTTTTAAATCACCCCTCCATAGAACAAAAATATCATCAAAGTACCATTTCCAAATAAAAATGTTAGGCAAGAAAACATTTTTGAGATGATTGAAAATGGACTGTTTCTCAATGTAACCCACATACAAATTAGCATAGTTAGGAGCCATAGGGGATCCCATAGCAGTACCCTTCGTCTGAATGAAGAAATCATTTAGAAACATGAAGTAGTTGTGTGTGAGTACTATTTCAGCCAATGTTATAATGCATGCACTGGAAGGTATTTGATTTGGGTCACGTTGCAGAAGAAAATGTTCCATGGCTTCAATACCGCCCTCGTGTGGAATATTCGTATATAACGACTCAACATCAAAAGTAACTAACAAGGTATTATCAGGGAGAGGATCAAGAGATTCAATAATATAAATCATACTGCTGGTGTCCTTTACAAAGGAGGGGAGCTGTTCTGCGAGAGGTCTAATAAAAAAGTCAACAAAGGTCGATAAAGGGGCTGTTACTGCATCAATGCCTGCTACAATAGGGCGCCCTGGAGGATTTGTAACATTCTTGTGTAATTTCGGCAAAGTATAGAAAGTGGCAATTTTAGGGTGTTGAATAGCCAAAAAATCGTGTTCTTTTTGGGTGATTTGACCAGAACTGAAATACCCATCTAGGACAGTAAAGATAGTGTTCTGAAATTGGGAAGTGGGGTCACTTCTGAGTTTCTTGTGAAAGGTGTTGTCAAGCAGAGTTTGAGACCAAGAGTTTGTAACAGTGTTGCTGAAGAGGAGACTGGGTGCACTGTTACCTTGGGGTTATAGTACAGGCTGCTCATCATGCTACTCAAACTGCCCTGAAGTTGCAGTAGCCCTTTGGGGATAGTTGTCACATTGTTGCACTGCATTGTTTGGTTTCTGTCATGCACAGAAGAAGTGGAAGAAGAGGAGATAAGGGGAGGGGGTGAGGGTTACATTGACAAATAAAAATTTTTTAGCTATGTCACATAGTTTAGCTACCTCTAATGGCGACAAACATATGAATACCGGGTATCTAGCTAACTCACTTATAAGTCTATTTCGGCAAAGCGCCCTGATGACACATCAGCTAGTAGTAGCTAGCTGGGTTTCTTGGTTTGTCTAACGTTAGCCTGGCTGAATAGCTAAAACTATTTCCAACGACTTGCTAGATAAAAAGCAAGCAACACATTGAGTTACTTTACTCCTCAATCTACACGGCTTTCATTTTATCACAGCAAACCATGTAGTTAGCTAATAATCGAAAAGTTTCGCAAAACTGTTCGTTACCTTCTTCTTCTTCTTCTTCTTCTATAATATTATGGCGGTCCGCAAACAAACGTTATCGGTGAATGCCTCCACCTACTGTACTGGAGTGTCTAGTCAATCACAGACTAAAGAACCAAACATTAAGTGAAACTAAACCCTCCTATCTAATCCTGTAGTAGTCTGTTCGTTACCTACCTGTCAGAAAGTGTGCCGACTGCTTTGAAGCTGCGTGTGAACTATCGCGAGGTTAACAAAAAGGTGTGAGATGCATAGAACTAAAATTACTACAACTGAAAAGCACTTCTGACTGATACATAGAAATATAATCTATAGAACAGACAACCCCATTCAAGAAGGTTGCATCCAAATGATCTACCCTTCCCCTCAAGTGTACACAGAGACGAATAGGCAGTGGTCAGTCTAAAAAATATATGCTTACTGGTCATGAAAAACTAAAACAGAAAAGCAACAAAACAAGATGATGAAAGAGAAAATAAACAGAGTTATGATTTTAAATCTGATCTTGTTTAATAAATCAAAAAAAAAAGAAAGGGAATGAACAGTAAATAATGGTGGAAACTCCCTCAGCTCATGCTTGCATCAATCCAATGCTTATAAATCCATGGAGAAGGGTAGAAAACTGGGACACTACCCGGGCCTAGTCCTGAAAAACCTAAAGTGCAGTAAGCTAGATAGCACGTGAACTGTTGTCACCACATAAACTGAAACATTTGAAGCTGGGTCAGTCATCTACCAATAGCCTATTTCACGTTATTTGAATACTAATACGAAGCATGTGTGTTTTTCTATTCAGTAAAGGACAACAGTCAGAATCAAGGCATGGACCGGCAACCCTGCAGTCTCGAGGCAAATCCCTTGGACCATAAGCTTCAGACCTCTTGGCAGAGACCATACACCAGGTAATAGCATCAAAGGTCGAAGTGCATGGTGTCACAGATCATATTACATAACTGTTGATGAGAACTGCGGCTGTTTCTGGGAAATCATATAAGAAGTAATATGAAGGTTATTTAAGAGCATAGGCAGCCAATACATAACAACAAAGGAAAATGTATGGCTACTTGCGTAACCCCGGTTCTATGATAATAGGAGTGAGATGTCTCACATTGGGATTTGCTCAGCGTATCACTGGGCACGAAGAACCAATCACACAACGTCTGTTGGATCCAGACAGGTCGAGTGGTAAATGAGGTGAGCCCCTCTCCTCCCTATAAGGTGCCACTCGCCCGCCTACTGGTCATTCTCAAGCATGCCTCTCTTCCTTGCACTCTTGTGAGCAGGGAAACGCAGTGAGACATCTCACTCCTATTATCAAAGAACCAGGGTTATGCAAGTAGCCCTGTTCTATTTCAAATACTCGTTTCGATGTCTCACATTGGGATATGGCCAACTCGCATATCGCAGACATGCTCTCTGAAGCCAGAGTAGTCCCAACAGTATCACCCCTCAAAGGCTCCGACACTGAGAACAGTATGTGCCAATGAGTGGTGGCCCAACATGCCACCTCACAAATCTCTTGTAAAGAGACGCCTTTGAACAGAGTTGACGAGAGGACACCCCTTATAGGAGGGCACCCAAGACACAAAAAGTTGGTCACGCTTACATCATGCGCAAAGCACGTACTGGACATAAACAGTGGAGACACTCTTCCTCTGTAGAAGTGAAGGGAGGCAGGTGGAAAGCCATAAGCTCTAAGGCGAGACAATTGTAATTGTTGCTGACCTTAGGCATAAATGCTGGGTTGGGTAACAACGTTACCTTGGATAACCCCGGGGCAAACTGTAGGCACAAATGGTGGACTGACAGTGCGTGGAGCTCACTCATTCGTTTATTTCAGCAAAGCCATCTTGAAGGAGCGATATTTCAACTCCACGTTTTTCAGCGGCTCAAAAGCCCTCTAACCAATTGTACTATTATGTGTGTTTTTCCGCGTTATTTGTAATTTATTTTGTACATAATGTTTCTGCCATCGTCTCTTATAACCAAAAAGAGCTTCTGGATATCAGGACAGCGATTACTCACCTCGTATTGGATGAATAATTTTTCTTCAACGAGGCGGCCGCGAAGGATATCCTACAGACACCCGACAAGGCCCAAATCCCCGTCATTCGCATGAGGAAGAGACGGAGATATCGTGGACGTAGGTCGGGGTGCCTTGTAAGGATCCGACGGCGAGCGAGTAAACTGCCGCTCCCATCAATCCTATTAGCCAATCTTCAATCATTGGAAAATAAATTGGATGACCTAAGATGAAGGTTATCCTACCAACGGGACATAAAAAAACGGTAATATCTTATGTTTCACCGAGTCGTGGCTGAACGATGACATGGATAAAATACAGCTAGCGGGCTTACGCTACATCGGCAGGATAGAACGGCTGACTCCGGTAAGACAAGGGGTGGCGGTCTGTGTGTATTTGTAAACCACAGCTGGTGCACAAAATCAAATACTAAGGAAGTCTCGAGGTTTTGCTCGCCTGAGGTAGAGTATCTTATGATAAGCTGTAGACCACACTATTTACCAAGAGAGTTTTCATCTATATTTTTCATAGCTGTCTATTTACCACCACAAACCAATGCTGGCATTAAGATTGCACTGAATGAGCTGTATAAGGCCATAAGTCAACAGGAAAACGCTCATCCAGAGGCAGCGCTCCTAGTGGCCGGGGACTTTAATGCAGGGAAACTTAAATCCGTTCTACCTAATTTCTACCAGCATGTTAAATGTGCAACCAGAGGAAAAAAAAAACTCTAGACCACCTTTACTCCACACACAGAGACGCATACAAAGCTCTCCCTCTCCCTCCATTTGGCAAATCTGACCATAACTCTATCCTCCTGATTCCTCCTTATAAGCAAAAACTAAAGCAGGAAGCACCAGTGACTCGGTTAATAAAAAAGTGGTCAGATGACGCAGATGCTAAGCTACAGGACTGTTTTGCTAGCACAGACTGGAACATGTTCTGGGATTCTTCAGATAGCATTGACGAGCACACGACATCAGTCACTGGCTTCATCAATAAGTGCATTGATGATGTCGTCCCCACAGTGACCGTACGTACATACCCCAACCAGAAGCCATGGATTACAGGAAACATCCGCACTGAGCTAAAGGGTAGAGCTGCCGCTTTCAAGGAGCGGGACTCTAACCCGGACGCTTATAAGAAATCCCGCTATGCCCTCCGACGAACCATCAAACAGGCAAAGAGTCAATACAGGACTAAGATTGAATCGTACTACACCGGCTCTGACGCTCGTCGGATGTGGCAGGGCTTGAAAACTATTACAGACTACAAAGGGAAGCACAGCCGTGAGCTTCCCAGTGACACATGCCTACCAGACGAGCTAAACCACTTCTATGCTCGCTTCGAGGCAAGCAACACTGAAGCATGCATGAGAGCACCAGCTGTTCCAGATGACTATGTGATCACGCTCTCCATAGCCGATGTGAGTAAGACTTTTAAGCAGGTCAACATTCACAAGGCCGCAGGGCCAGACGGATTACCAGGACGTGTACTCCGAGCATGTGCTGACCAACTGGCAAGTGTCTTCACTGACATTTTCAACATGTCCCTGACTGAGTCTGTAATACCAACATGTTTCAAGCAGACCACCATAGTCCCCGTGCCCAAGGACACTAAGATAACCTGCCTAAATGACTACCGACCCGTAGCACTGACGTCTGTAGCCATGAAGTGCTTTGAAAGGCTGGTCATGGCTCACATCAACACCATTATCCCAGAAACCTTAGACCCACTCCAATTTGCATACCGCCCCAACAGATCCACAGATTATGCAATCTCTATTGCACTCCACACTGTCCTTTCCCACCTGGACAAGAGGAACACCTACGTGAGAATGCTATTCATTGACTACAGCTCAGCATTCAACACCATAGTGCCCTCAAAGCTCATCACTAAGCTAAGGATCCTGGGACTAAACACCTCCCTCTGCAACTGGATCCTGGACTTCCTGATGGGCCACCCCCAGGTGGTAAGGGTAGGTAACAACACATCTGCCACACTGATCCTCAACACGGGGGCCCCTCAGGGGTGCGTGCTCAGTCCCCTCCTGTACTCCCTGTTCACCCATGACTGCATGGCCAGGCACGACTCCAACACCATCATTAAGTTTGCCGACCACACAACAGTGGTAGGCCTGATCACCGACAACGATGAGACAGCCTATAGGGAGGAGGTCAGAGACCTGGCCGTGTGGTGCCAGGATAACAACCTCTCCCTCAACGTGACCAAGACAAAGGAGATGATTGTGGACTACAGGGAAAAAAAGAGGACTGAGCACACCCCCATTCTCATCGACGGGGCTGTAGTGGAACAGGCTGAGAGCTTCAAGTTCCTTGGTGTCCACATCACCAACGAACTATCATGGTCCAAACACACCAAGACAGTCGTGAAGAGGGCACGACAAAGCCTATTCCCCCTCAGGAGACTGAAAAGATTTGGCATGGGTCCTCAGATCCTCAAAAAAGTATACAGCTGCACCATCGAGAGCATCCTGACTGGTTGTATCACCGCCTGGTATGTCAACTGCTTGGCCTCCGACCGCAAGGCACTACAGAGGGTAGTGCGTACGGCCCAGTACATCACTGGGGCCAAGCTTCCTGCCATCCAGGACCTCTATACCAGGCGGTGTCAGAGGAAGGCCCTCAAAATTGTCAAAGACTCCAGCCACCCTAGTCATAGACTGTTCTCTCTGCTACCGCACGGCAAGCGGTACAAAAGTCTAGGTCCAAAAGACTTCAACAGCTTCTACCCCCAAGCCATAAGACTCCTGAACAGCTAATCATGGCTACCCAGACTATTTGCACTGCCCCCCCACCCCATCTTTTTACGCTGCTGCTACTCTGTTAATTATTTATGCATAGTCACTTTAACTCTACCCACATGTACATATTACTTCAACTATCTCAACTAGCCGGTGCCCCCGCACATTGACTCTGCACCGCTACCCCCCTGTATATATACTACTGTTATTTTATTTTACTTCTGCTC